TAAGCCATCAACATCAGAATTTTAATTAATTACTATTATTCATACTGAGAAATTTAACTTTTATCTACAAGCAATGAACAATTTATTTTAAATTTAAGTTTTACTGTGATATATTTCCCCCGGTTTTCCCGGCATTTTTTTTCAATATGCGCATGCGTAGACATTACATATGTTGTCTTTTTCCTTTTCATGCATAGACTACACTTTCATATTCAAGCTGTTTTACACATATTTAAATTTTTTTAAATAATTAAGTATAGCAATATGGCAACGCATATTTGTAAATAAAGAGTCTATATTAGGTCATGATCGATGACTTCTCGGACAGTGACCAGAAATGGCGGGAATGATTGAGTACTCACCATTTTCAACAGAACGCTGTATAAACTAGAAATAGTTAATTTAGAAAACAACATAAATAAACTTAGATCTACCTCAATCTGAAGGAATCTCTTGCTGTATTCTCGTCGTTGAATGAAGAAGGAATGCTTGTAAGTCGTATAGATAGCTTTGCAAATGCAATCGCAATTAACTGCTACTGAATAGCTAGGCTTCCAATATCAGTCTGGCGAATTGTTACCCAGTCCTAGGCCACGTGACCAACCAGTGCTGGTCAATAGAGCATGATTGAACACTGAATGAGAGAGAGAGAGAGATGGTTCAACGTGTTCCACTAAGAGAAAGAGGGTGCCTGAACTCGAAAATCCTATTTTCGTAGGGAGAGGTCCTGTGTAATGACGAATAATGACCCCCATCGAATAATGACCGGGGGTCATTTTTCAACAACAAAAAATGACCCCCTACCCGTAGAAAAAAAATCATTTTTTTGTAGACAAAGAGTCCTAGGGGTCATTATTATATGTTAGTTTTATAACAAAAATTGACCGCCATTGAAAAATGACCCCCTTTAAAGTGATACAAAATTTATAACAGGTGAAAGGGAAAAATATGCTGTGTATTATAATTGTTCTTTCTTCGAATAATTCATGCATTTGTTCGAATAGATTTGATCTTTGTTCTTCTTAGCACGTAGGGGTAATAAAGTTCCTCATTTCTCTCTGTCGAAATATTGACAAATCAGTTTTAAGCAATTAACAATCAATCAATTAATCTTCATTTCTCTGATAAAGGAGCAAACCTAGAAAATCAAAGATGGTACATGTAAATGGATCAAACGCACGCTGGAGATGAAATTTATGAATATAATTTTTTTTCTTTACTGACTCCATTGATACGTTGTTTCAGAAAAAAAAAATTGTTGGGAAAAAGTAGAAATTTGAAGCAGACGAATTAATATCGGTGCGTACAAATAAGTAATTTGTTCGAATTAATAAGGTTTCATTCGGACGAGTGAATAAAAATAGAAATGGATGACAGGACGCCTCGATGCTGTATATTTTTCATATGTTCCATCCTATACCTGCAGACTATCACAATATATTTAAAGATATTAAATCTTTGCAAATACATATTCTTTTTATACCCCCCCCCCTCGGTAGAACAACCAGACTTGCATTGAGCATTTTCAAGTGAGAAATTAAGAATTAAGAGATTCACGTAGTCTTTCAATGCTAAAATTGTGTTTGAAAAGAGATTTTTTTATTGTCAAGTAAATAAAATTTCTTTTCAATATTCCTCCTTTTAATGATTACTTAAAGAGTGATATTCCACTTGTTTTTAGAAATCAAACCATTCAACAATCAGGTTTAAATACTCTTTAATAGGAAAAATTAATTTTTCCTTCGTTTCAACTTTTAGCTTGTATAAGTTTGGCAAATCCTATTTGACAATGAAAGGGGAGGATATGGAATGCCATATACGACAGCCAACTGCTTACTGCCAACTGCTGACTGCTTACTACCAACTGTCAGCTGCTTACTGCCAACTGCCACACACATATGAATAAATTTTATATTTGTATCGATATTTATATGAATTTTCACAAAAAGAAGGGAAAAAAGGCACGGATCCAGGAATTTTTTTCAAAGGGGGTTTCCCTGGTAAAATTGAATTGAATAAAATGACCAGTAGGTTTTATCTTATGTAATATTCAATATATGCAGTTGATAAAGTACATTGTTTATTATTTTTGTTTGTTTTCCTATTTGAAATAGGTAATAAAATGACTATTTTCTGCTTTTAATCTTTAAAGACCCCCCCCCCCTCCCCCGGAGACAACAAAACCTTTGAAGAGAGAATAATAATAATAAAGATTTGTCGTTTCGCAGAGAAAGATGTTTTGAAAATAAATTTCCGTTTTCCATTATATTCTATAGTTAAAAATTTCCTCAAATTAAAGATGTATATCTCTGTATGTATAATAATGCAGGCACGTAGCATCGTTTTTGAAAGTGGCGGGGGGGGGGGGGGGGGGCAACCAGACAAATTTTTTTTCCTTACCTGAAAAAGTTGACAAGCAAAAAAAAAAAAACAAAACAAAACAAAACAAAAAAAACAAAACAGAAAAGGAAATAGCCCAAACTCGAAAATCATATTTCGTGGGGGTGGGTGGGGGGGGGGGTTGTAGGTGGCTAACTTTTTTTAAGGCCAACTACCTTTCACTTACATTTTTTTCCACACAATACTACAAATCCATAATATCTTTATACTATGGTAAGAAGTGGGGGGGGGGGGGAAGAATCCTTTCAATATACATCTTCAATAGTAATGGTAATGTTGGGAAAAAAAGGGGGCAGGGCTTCGTGATAAGTTGGTATGAAAAATGTCATACACATGAAGGTAATGTCATACACATGAAGGTATGACGCATAAGAACCCCTCTCCCCGGCCGAAATAAATTTTCACATTTAGGAAAGGACTTTACGTATTTTTTTTCTTGTCAAGAAATTTCTGGGTTGGATTTTTTTTTACCAGAGTGACCCACTTGGAAAAAATGTCCTATAGATCCGCGCCTTTTTTATAAATTTACATAAATATCAATATAAAAATAAAAATTTATTCAAATATGTGTGGCAGTTGGCAGTAAGCAGCTGACAGTTGGCAGTAAGCAGTCAGCAGTTGGCAGTAAGAAGTTGGCTGTCGTATATGGCATTCCATAGGAGGAAAACATTACGTTAAATCTAAAAAAAAAAAAAAAAAGCAAAAATATAAATAAAACTCTATACCTTTTAATAATACTGAAAGAGACTCTAGATAAAATATTGAAAGGAAGTTAAGCCTTCACACAAGTACTATCATATCACAATTTACTTCGCCATGATTAAAGCATACTTTAAATGTTGGTGGGGGTATACTTGAAAGTATTGTCAGTGGCAAAGTAACAGTTGAAAATTAGTAGCATAGTAGATTATTTTAAGCTTATTTTTAGTCTCTCCTTATGGAAAAATAAAGATAGGGTAGTTTTTTTTGTTGTTGCTTTTGTTGATAATCGACTTACTCCGAAATAAGTAAGGGGGTGGGATGGGTATAGCACCTAAAAATATACTCTGTAAAGCTATGGGCTAGTGTAAAATACACATTCCAATGCAAAAACTATACATGTAGACATAACCTTTTGATTTAGCACACAGTATTCATTACATTTCTTCATTCTTGTTTTACTCCACTCTTTTACTCAGTTCTGAGTATATTTTTCAGAGAATTTAATATGAAAATCAGAACAAACATTTTCATTTTTGTAACGTCTTCTTTATACTGTATCAAAATATGAAAAGTTAATTGAAGATCATTTCTTTTTATGTCCCCGTAATCGAAGATTCGGGGGTATATAATTTTATCGTGTCCGTCTGTATGTCTGTCTGTCTATCTCTCTGGAGGTCTGTTTGTCCGCAAAAACTTTAACCTTGTTCATAACTTTTCATTTATTGGAGCTAAGACTTTCATATTTTATATGTGTATTCCTTGTGACAAGACCTTACTTTGGGTACCACCAAATTTGACCTTTTGATCTTTACCTTCGAGTTTGTCCCATTTTACACAAAAACGCAAAATTTTTACTTTGGCCATAACTTTTAAACGGTAGATACTAGTACTCTCATACTTCATATTTATGTATGAAATGCTCCCGTTACACGTCCGTAGACAGAGTTAGAATTAATTAATCGTGTTTATATTTGACTGGCACAATTGAAAGACAAGGATAAATTGAAGATATTCTGCGTGAATCTAAAAGAGAATTATGTCTTCTAACTGGATTTTGCTGGGGGATCGTATGTAGTTTTATCCATTTCTGTATAAATCGCGATAAAGAGTGGAAAATACCCCTTCTTGTGTTGGAAAGTTGAATTTATCGTAAAATATTTTCTTAAGAAGTAAAAATTAAACCTGCCCCCAGCACTTTTTATGTACCAGAGATCATGATGAATTGATCTATGTAACAAACTTTGCACAATAATTTTGTTTTGCACTTGTGCCGAAGCAATTTTTGTGCAACATTTAAGAATATCATAAATGTCCGTCACGTGATCAACACAGTCATGTGACATCACCGAAATACTTTATTATAATACCTGATTAAACTGTTATCTCAAGTTGACTGCAATTTCAAACAAGGATCACATATTTGAATTAAAGTCTAGTTCAAAAGAAAATGTATACTTTTAAGGCATTTTAGGCCTTCGGACAGCCTTATCATAACTGCGTTTAAGAAATCGTTCGTATGTGGAACATACTATAGCGTATCTAAACAAATAGGACACATAAAACGCCGGGTGTTATTGGAACATTTCTCCATAAATAAAGGAAGTTAACGATAGAAAAATTGAATCCATCAAGTTAATTTTATAGTTTCAGAAAGGGTTACCAATAGCGTCTTTTTTTTCAAGCAAAATATCAAAATATGAAACAGATGTGACAGACTCTCTGGTATGTTTTATTTCAAGGTCAAAGAGATAAACTGATTCATAGTAGGGATGAAAAAAAAATAACGTCGTTTATACATCTTTATGCTGACTGCTTCTCTCCATGTATTTTTTTTTTTACCTAATTTTCCTTTGAAACATTTTTCATTCTTTTATGAATTAAAAAAAATTAGTCTGCTAAATAGTGATTTATAGTATTTTATTAATAATATTTCATATGTTGTATTCAATTTCATATCATTAAACATTATATAAGTGCAATTGTACATTTTGTATTCTTAGTATAAGACATAACATGCACTGAACAAAAAATATAATGACTCTTGAGTAATGCGTTTAGTGCTATCAAATTCGGACAGACTAACAGTTGTATAATTACTAGCATGCGTATAAAACGAATCATTTAAATTATTGCATTGAAAATGTCTTGCGTTTTGTAATAAAATTGCATCTAACACTCGGTGCTAAACAAAAACAAATTCTATAGTGAGTGAACACTGGATGGAAGAGCTGTTATGAACAACTGCTAAAAGCAGTAAACATCTATTACAGAAAATATTTACATAAAATGTACAACCATCTTAAAAAGACCGCTTCTGTCAACACAGTGACGGTAACATTATTTTCCCCCTGGTTCTTTGGATCAAAGTATAATACCTTGAGACTCAACTTTTTTTGGCATGTCTTGAAATGGTTCAAATTGAAAATGGATACTGTCAATTTTTTTTTAACATGATGATAGTTCACATATTTAAAAAAAAATACTCTTATAAAAATTGCTGATAGTAATATTAACAAACTCGATCTGTTGGACAAAATACATGAAAGAAAATACACATCATATCTTGATATTTGGACGAATCACCTTCATGTAAACAGAATATCATGAAAAAATCAGCATATTATTATGTTATTGATTATGTTTCTGTTGTGAATAATCGGTTGTATCAAACAATACATTCTCAAACACAAGACAGACGGAGATCACTATGGCGAAAAAGTACAAAAAGAAGAAAAGTCTATCCAGAACAAGGGCGACAATTCTCCATTCTCTGGCTATCACCTCTTTGGCATCTTTGTCGGTGATTTTATCAATCATCTTCTTAAGATATGTTTTGATTTCTTTCACGTCACTGGACATAGTATCAAAATGTCCGGACAAACTGCTAGACATCTCGTTTTTATCCTGTTCACAGAAATTCGTTTGTTCATTATTCAACACGCCATTCGGTTGCTCTTTCCAGCTATTTTCGGCTTGCATTTCATAATATCCCACTTTGTCATACTTTCCATTTTTATCCTTTCGGTTACCTCCTCTGACAACAATTCCATTGCTTTCTTGTCCACTTTTCTTTTTTGTCTTCACTTGTTCATGCATGCACATTATTCTTGCTATGTAGTCAACCATTATCTGAAAATCATGAAAATATTTTTATACTAATCATTGGTAACTGCTATGTCCAAACAACATCTTAGGATTAGGTGCATAGCATGTGTGAGCATCCCTAACCTTTAAGACCGGTCACACCGGCCGTGAGCCCTATGTATTCATCTGGTAGATGGGACTTTCGTAATCAAATTCAGTGTGCAAAAAACGCTTAACAAATCGAATAAAACACGACAGCCATTATAAGATCTAATTAGAGATTATATATTTTATCCATTTCTGGATTAAGCACAATTGATATTTTAAGCAATTGTCATTTTGCTCATACGTATAAAAAAAATAATAATCAAAAATATTTCTTTTATTGAACAGAACATGCAAGCTCACAAAAATTCTTCATTAGAATATTTTAGTTCCTATTAGGAGGTTAAATCATAATTACTACAATAATGCAAATTTCTTTGATTTTCTTCCATAGAACCTGTAATTAATTAGTGGTCCTGTCTTTCAGGGTGAATCATTTTTTCCAGAGAAAAACAAATCTAGTGACTGAAATGTGGCATTTTTTTTTATCATAGTTTTTAATCGAAGTATAGTGTATACCCCAGATTACAAAAGGGCTTGTTTTGTTAGGGAAAAACATATTTCTCTTTTTAAAAAAAAACAAGGGAAGAACATGTAATAAACAACTTCTATATACATATGTATAACCAAATGGCATGCCAAAATCGGTTAATGAATCAGAAGGTCGTTACCACCATCTGAAGTCTTATAATGTCTAGAAATAATGGAAGTGACCCGACCAGTTTATGGGTCTGGACAAGCAATTTCTATTATTCTGTAATATAGGTTGCCATTTTATGAGTCTAGCAAACAGTCTTATTTGTATGCTTGTGTATAATTATTGAACCTGTAGTAGTCATCGGTCAATGAGAGACCAATCTTTAGTCTATTACTAGTGCAAATCAGTGCGTTCTAAGAGAAGTCCAACAATCTCAAAACAAACTAGAGGTACTATGAGAAATGAGCTCACTAAATGATACCCCCGCACTATTTACCCTCCCGCTTTTCAATTGGGGTATAAACATTCATATCAATGTACAATATGTCTTTATGCTTATTTCATGTCAAAATTTCGTTCATCTATAACTTTAGAGCAAAATTTTTAAGTATATAGAACTCAAAAAAAAAGAAGAAGATGTAAACATTTAAAAAATTCTGTTTAGTTTCCCTTTAGAAGAGTTCGAAACTTACCGTTTTTATAGGTCTTGGGACACGTGACTTTGACCCCCGGAAGTAAAGATTTACAATGACAACGGATAAGAAGGTGGATAGAGTAATCATAATCATGTTCAGACAATAGTAAGCACCTGGAAAAAGATCATTATGTATCAAACATTAAAAAAACTAATTTCAAACATTTGTAAGATTTAATGTATACACATCAGATCGATTATAGTTACAGTTATTATCTTATCTATCTAGAAAAAATGTCTGAGAGAACATATTTCATTGCCATCTAAATTAAATCATTCTTTTATCTTTCTCAACCTAAATGAAAATCTAAGTGATGACTCTTTGTCTTTTTAATGAAACTTTGTGCTGCATGATAATTATTAAAATGAAAGAGTACCGATCAGAGGTATAGAAGCCGATGCCGGAGGAGTTGATTCGTTGAGGAGAAGAAGTAAGACAAAGAATGCGACAAATATATTCATTCCTGAAAATAGAACAAGATTGCTTTACCTCATGTTATATCTTCATCAATCTCCATCTCATGTTCTAGTCACAATAACACCACAAAACGCAAGATGAAAAAATTGTTTTGTATGAAAGAGCTTGAATATACAAAGCACATATTTTTATCCAAAAACATAAAAAGGCGATGTCTTTTGTACTATATAAATATAATAACTTATACCTAATTGCATTTTCGCAGGTGACTCTGGTGGCAGCCAAAAAAGCACCAATGTTAGAGATGACAGAAGAATACAAGGAAGAATTAAAATGTAATTATAAAATGCAGGTTTTCGTTTAATTCGAATATAGAAGGTAATGTCGACGTAAGGAGCATCCGGGCAACAAGCGTAAGTGATGACGTTTCTGTCGACGCCAGATCCAAGGACATTCCATTCGTTGCTCTCCACGTAGTCTGACAATTCAAATCCAGTTTCGACCCCGTACAGCTCCTTTAAGTCGATTTGTCCGCCATCGTAGCTCCATGTACTGAATTTTAGTTTACAAGTCTGCATATCAAACGGGAAGTACATAATGTCTATTTTACAGACACTTTTAAAGATTGCTTGTGGAATCCATAGCACGGTTCCATCGCTTTCAATAACCATATTGGCGTCTCTTCTCTCCTCCATTCTCTCATCAGCGCTAAAAATTGAAAATCAAATTAACTTTGTGTAAATGGCGTCCACATTTACACCCAGTTCCGTACCAGGTTTGAGCACAAAATGTAATCTACAAATCAGATGCGTTTGGACCATTTCATGTATAAAATGCCTACTATGATAAATCATGCTGTGAGTATAATTTAGATGCAGCTCGAAAAAGATCTAATTATTTTTATTTAACATTATGTAACCATAACAAAGTTTTCCAAATAATGTTATCACTGTGATTTACGTCATGAAAACTTACTAGTTGTACAGTTTTATATCGGGTTCCCAAATGCTGCCCTTTGGAACTCTGATCTTTGTGATGTTGTCATATTCAGATTGATTCCAAGTCATATAAATATCCTTCCATTGCTGTGAAAAAGTTTAAAACATTAAAATTAAAGATTAATAGCAATCATTTATTTCTCCTTTGCAAGATGAGACAAAATGATAGCAATCTTATTTCTTCACAATACCTAATTTCAAAGCATTTGAATGATAACTGAAATACACGGTAGTCATTCATCTTTTTCTTTTCATATTCCAGTCCTTTACGGCCATAAAAAGCCATTTTGTAAAATAATCAATTATTTGATCGACGAAGTATATAAAATATTAAATATTAGCAGTAAAGAATCTCATTTGTCACTATCAGCCACTCTGTTTCAAGAAAGCTTCAAACCTGAAAGAACATAAACAAAACACCCTCGCATATAGCATAACACAGTTTTCAATATTTAATAAAGCATGTCAGGCTTGTTTACAAACAAATATCGTTATCACGGCATATCTCGGGTCACATTTTCGTCCATTATATTTTTTTCCAAAGTTTTCCCTAATTTCATTTTGTAGATCCACTGGGATTAATAATACAATTTTTACAGATATACAAGCATTTCAAATGTTTTTTTGTACTTTGCTACGTCTTATTTCAATGTTCAAAATTTTGCTTTCAAATGTCTAAAGAGTTTTAAGATTGCCATGTAAAATATACATATTGTCCAGCACAGTTACATAAAAAGAGTGAAAAAGTTCTATTGACAAACTTGAATACGGTGTTAAAACGAAATCTTTCGGGATTCAATTAGTTCTGAACGTTGCCAAAAGTGTCTAATGATACTCTTATTTCGAAGTTCGACACTAATAAAATGATGGACGAGGAAACCAAATAACATGATCAAACAGCTACTTTTTATCACGAGCAACATAATTTGCTAAGAACGTCCAAGAAATGCAATCAGAGAGAAATGAAATGGATGATGCGTGTTCGAGTCTGCTTCATTTAAAGATAGCATATATGTTTGAACAATGTTCTTAGGGTAGATCGAGATAAAGTTAATATTTTTAGAAGAGAAGCAACATTCTTTTCATAGGGTGTCACAATATCTATTTAAAGAAATTCCGATCAAGGTACGATATCTATTAATATTGTAAATAGACTATTCAAAAAGATATTGAACAAGGTATGCCATTTCTTCTTCGATTGATTAATGTGCACATATTGCTGCAAGAACAAGATTGACAATGGTCAATCAATGCTTGGCTTTATGTTCACTGATATCTTTTGGATGATATGGAGTGTTTTTGTGGAACATGTACGTTTTCGTACTTTTGAGTTTCTTATAAATACATGTATATGAATTCATACTTTTAAATCAATATTTATAAACCACATTCAGGTAATTTGCTCCCTCACATGAATTTAAGTGGGAATTGCTGTGCTTGGAAGTAAACTTGTTAATATCAAGCATTAAGTCTGGTGATATTGTAACCGCAATTATCAAGTATATGGTTATAGCTACTGAGAAAGCCAAGGAGATTCTCAGATATTAGTTATATTTCTGCAAGGGAACTCTAATTTGGGACATAATACTATACTCTTTATTTATATAACTATGTATTCAATGTTTATCCAGAGGTGGACGGGTGCAACTAAAATATTTACCAAAAAATTTTACTGACCAAGAGTTTAAAATACAGTATACGACCACGATGGATTGCGCAGGTTATGATAAATTCTTCATCAAAGAAAGTGGCACAGTAAGTCACATGCTATTATGCAGCATGTTCCTTCCTTTATGGCCTTTTTGTGCACCACCTTTTTGCTTTTTCAGTGTTTTTACCATTATATTATTGGCTGGGCTGTTTTTGTGTCATGTGATTAGAAAAAATTATGTCATGTGACTAATCTGTATGGTTAACTAGTCAATTTGTGATTAACTGTATATTTTGTTTTAAGCCCAGCCAATTAATTGTTATATAACTTTTTGTAATATGTATTATAGATTTTATTCTTAGTCATTTGTTATTTGAATAAATGACAGTTTCATTCAATTGTGTTTTAATAATTTTATACAAGAGGTTAAGCAAAAATGAGCTTCGAATAGCCAGAATTGTCTTGTCGCATTATCAGGAAAATTTGTGGATATAAATAAACATTTATCGGTACAATAAATTGTTTCATATACAAAATTTTATATATTTTTTTTTTAACTTATGTAATTTTTCATTTAATTGTTTCCCTTTCGGGTGCCCCTTGCATTTACAGCTAGATTTTATAGTTTGGACCAATCAAATGAAATTATACGTATCACGTGGTTAATTCACTCTAGCCATTTTTTATCGGAGAAGAAGCCACACAAATTTTCAGCAACCACCTCTTCCCCTCCACCACCCTATTTTGATGAATTTACCTGTTAACACTGTATAACTTGTTTATATTGAAGAATGTAAACAAAATGGAAATTTGTTTAATTTGGTGCGCTGGCCTTTTTGTGCACCACCTTTTTGCTTTTTAAGTGTTTTTTACCATTATATTGTTGGATGGGTTATTTTTGTGTCATGTGATTAGAAAAATTTATGTCATGTGACTAATCTGTATGTTTAATTAGTCAATTTGTGATTAACTGTATATTTTGTTTTAAGCACAGCCAATTTATTGTTATATAACTTTTTGTAATATGTATTATAGATTTTATTCTTAGTCATTTGTAATTTGAATAAATGACAGTTTCACTCAATTGTGTTTTTAATAATTTTATACAAGAAGTTAAGCAAAAACGAGCTTCGAATAGCCAGAATTGTAAGAATAATAAGACTGATGTAATATGAGCGTAAAAAGAAAATTGTTTAAATTAAGTGGCAAAAACTTCATACAATATTTTGCAGTAAGTTTTATTACCAAGTGGCAGTGTTCTTTAGCTTAAAATGTGTGAAGTCTGGGGAGGACTAACGATTGCTTTCATCTACACCTTTGAAAGCAAACTAAGTGTCGAAGGAGGTTGTCAGTCAATTTGCAAAATGAGTTTAACATAGCTACTAATTCTTGGCATTTCGTCGCTATGCCTTTGAACAGGAGAAAAACAGTTTAAATCATGGTAAATGTATTATGATGCAATACAACTTCCCCTTTAAATCTTTATTATCTTACGTCATCTTAAGTAGTGCGATGATGACACATACAGTACTAACCGAACTGACAGAAAGCGTCCCAGATCAGTCCAGCAGTAACCCTAAAGCAGTCCAGTGTTTTGAGAAAGCATTCTCATAGACTGTTTTTCAGGTTAGTCTTGTGGTACAGAACAGATATCTTTTTACACTTACGTAAGTGACCCATACGTTGGTTGTCAGTACTTGATTTCTCTCGTCCAGATCCAGAATCTGTATCAGACTCAGTCCAAACTTGACGGTTAGGATCTCTTGGTGACGCTCTACTGGTCTTCCCATGATTCCACGTTCCTTGTATTCGGTGAGCAGCTTCTTGATAAGGAGTTTTTCAGTGGACATTTGGACAACATCTTGGAAATATAAATTATACAATATCATTGATATAAGTCGTAGTGCTCTTTAATAAGTGGCCAACCGTGATTTATAGAAAAGGTGATCGATGCTTGTTATTATACAAATTGTTTTTTTTTAAACAGATCGTCTCCTTTAGCAAAGATGTTTTTGTGCAAAAGATAATTATTTAAAAAATAATGGATGTAAGTCATTTGTAAGTCGGTTGAACTGTTTGTATATATAAATTTCTCTATTCTTAAGAATCAAAGGAACGAACTCATGTGTACATCTACGAAAACATTTACTTTTCTAAATGGTTCACAAAAGGGTTGGGATATTAATTAACAGACAGAAAAAGCATGGCAGAATAATTCTGCCCTGAAATTGATTTTGGCAAATAATTCCGTAATCCATGACTTACATATTTACTAACAAGTTGTTTCTTATTAATAAAAGATGGTTTTATGATCATTATGTCACGTTCCAGTAATTGATGGTGTGTTGATGAATCAGTGTGAGCAGGGCCCAATCAATAGTATAAGGCCATCTTTCATTTAAGGGGTAAATTAATTATAGCCATACAAGGACATAAATTTCCTTTGTCCAATTATCTTTGTTTCTTGTAAATATTTATAAACAATTGAGGTTTGATTTTTGAAAAATCCTGACAAAACTAACTGATAAAGTACTCTAACATTTAGTCAAGTACTCAACCTGCTGGTAAGGTATAAACGTATTTACATATATTCTCCTAAGAAAAGTATCGTTAAAGAAAGCTTATATAAAAATTGTTAAAGAAAAAAATTATGAAGGTCTGTAAAGTGTTATTTTTGCCTACTATTTAGGATTTAAAGCACATTTGTATTTCCAGTATCTAAATATATGTATCTTTTTCTTACAACACAGAGTTAAGGAGAAACAAACTGGTTAAATTAAGAAAGTGAAACAGGAGACTACGGAATGTGAAAATGCCTAATTGATAATTCACTTTTGGAAATCAATTAAAGATGATAAAATACAATGTAACAATAATAGAAATTTTTTTCTTAATACATAAATCCTTTCTGACCAAGGATACTTCGTATATGATATTTATGGATAACAATTTTTATGTTCTTCCTTCTATATATGTAATGAAAATATGTAAGCCAAAGAGCTTAATTTTCATCTTAAAGCTTAAAGCTTTTGAAGTATCCTTCAAAAATATTGGAAATTGAAAACAAAGGCATCTTCGTTATTAATGTTTCTAATAATCTCGAGATTTGAGATGCAGCAATAACATTCATCACTTGCATACAGGATTTATATCTATCAGTTGATTCTCTACGTATAAACAATTTCTTTACCGAGGTAAGTTATTGACAAACAAGTTGCTGAAACAAGCATATCAGCAGTCTCGTTTAAAGTCATCATTTCGTAATCATAGTCGGTACAATGATCTTGTCTGTAAATACAATTCATCATGAAGTCAAATGCTGACTGACGTTTTTCATGCTTATTAAGCCATTATTTACGTTCTGAATTGTCGACGGATTTGCCATTATTTCCCAGTCATGACAAGTAGCACAAGGCGGGTGTTGCTGGTCGGCAGGGGGATGCTCACTCCTCCATGATACCTAATCCCATGTCTGATGTTTTGGAGGTCAGTGTTTGCTTTGCTCCTAATTTGTATTTTAATGGACTTTTGAGTTGGATATTGTTCGTTATCTCCATATGTTTGAGATTATTAATAGTGATGAAAAATATTGCTAGACTGGTCGCTATATCTATTTTCAAATTAGCATAAATTTTGTAAGAGGTGTAAGTTTTCCTTACTGCAAAATGGTTTATAAACATCAATTACATGTAACAGCATCATCTGTACACATAAATATCGATTGTATTTATATAAACATCCATTTTATGTAAAGCTGACTGTTAAATAACAGATTTTCATACTCAATACCAGTCAATTAGCTATATTTATATGAAGTCGAATCTGTTCTGTTTTTAAGGTAGACATGTTTGAAAGCATTGACATCTCTACCATTCATTTATACTGAGCAAAATAAGTTTAGCAATTTAAGATATTTATCATAAAACAAAGTTTAAAAAATAGACACAGCACTTAAAATTAAATTTTGAAGTGAACTTGTCATCACATAACAAAATTAGGCAAATTTTATCGACAATTGTGTGTTGTTTTGTAAAAAATATCGTGAAACTGATTACTGATACGGGCTTGAAAAGTCAGATTGAATTTCAATATTGTGTAAGGCCTCCAATTGCAGCATTAACAATAACACACCGGGGTCTCGGGCTCCTTATAAGGTTTTGTATCTCTAGCATGGTGATCTGGTTCCACTCCTGCTGCAGGGCAAGGGTCAGTTCTGCTACGTTGTTGACGTTATGTTGTTGTCTTAAACGACGACTAAGAATGTCTCAAACGTGTTCAATTGCTGACAAATCTGGCGATATCGCGGGCCAATCAAATAACTTAAAAAGATTCTGACGAAGGACAGCTTGTTCGTCGTGTGCGGTATGCGGACGGACATTGCCCATGCGAGGCGGGATTGTTGATGACGTTGAGTTAGTGGTACTGCTACGAGAGGTTTTTCAGCTCGAAGATTTGCTAAACCTAGCTGGTTTCTTACATGCACAATAACCTCAGTCCAGTTGCACGGCGTAATTCTTCTGTAACTTTAGAAGAAGCCATGAAACGGTAACGTCTCGACGTTGCAACAGTAAAAAGATCTTGACTAACCGTCGTTTTTCGTAGACGTCCTGAGCGCTGAAAATCACAAACATGTCAAGTGGTCCGGGATCAGTTTAAAAGTGACATATGGTAAACGGATGCACAAGAAAGTATTCAACATCTTTTTGTGAGCAACCGGCCTTAGCATCTCTATAGTTGTTTCACGTTCATTTTTGAAAAGTCCTGGACGTTTCCCAATTAGACGTTTTTGCAATTTTTCACCGGTTTTCTTCAACAAGCGTGTTCGAAGGGCTTTTCAAGTAAAAAATTCTTCCAGGACCATGTGCTTTTGAGTATGTCCATTTGTATTGTTGAATTTTCACACTGTTGGACGACACGGTTTCCGCGCGTCAAGTTAAAAAAAGAAGTGTGTCTTTTGTTACCTTTTTCTATATTGATTTTAGATCGAAACAAAATAAAGCAATTTCGAAAAATATTTTTAAAATTATACCTATTGAAAAATAATTGCTAAACTTATTTTGCTCAGTATATATATATGAATGTCGCTGCAATCTTCTCTGACAGAAATAGAAAATGAATTAACCATCACCAAGGACTAGCAGAGAAGTGTACATAAAAGAGGCAAATGCCTTTCTGCAACGATTTAGTGCATGCTTATATTATATTTGGAATTTAAAATCATATACAATGTTTTTTCTTGTGAAACATAACCACCGCTTATATTAAACGTGTTATTTCTACTAAAATTTAAAAAATCAACCCTTAAAACATCGTAAAAAAATATTTTTACAAGTACATTATACCATTATATTTTTTAAAAATATACACAAGTAAAATTGATTCTAGATGCTGTCGACCTCACACAATAAATTGTATATCGTGCACGAATAAAAAGGGTAGCATTTCTATCCATAAACAGCTATTCATTACACCTAAAGCAAAAAGTTTGGTCCGTATTGGAAACCAATAAAATGAGCCGTTTCAATTGGTCTTAAATTAAGAGTCTAGAAAGGTTGTACATTTAATGAAAATCTTATAGTAAAATCAAATTAATACACTACAATAATACAAAGGTTGCTATATGGGATGGAACATTTAAAATCTATTCCTAGCTACAGTTTTTTTCAACTAAAGTGTAGGTACTATATTGTGAACATTTCTTTTATTAAGTGATATTATTTCTGAAAAACAACTGATAAAGTTATACATCAGAATGTGGTGACAAATTAAACCATGCAAACAACAAAGGAGATTTGTGACTAATTAATGATTTGTGACTAATTAATCCTATTAATTCTGTGCAGTGAATGTTTACTCCCTCTCTTTCGAGAAAAAAGGCGTATTGTTTTTAGTTAATTTAATTAACTATATTTTACGTTCTTTTCTATCAATTACTCTACTGAAGTGACATTAATCTGCGTGATAGCTATATTAATTTAGAGTCCTAATTTGAAGGCTTTTGAAGAACAACCAGTTGGGACAGACAACAAACATGCAACCTCGTCTTCTGCGGCATCCCTACCTCCTGCGTGACAATTTTGCCACGTCAAAACCGTCGTCAAATGTATTACGAGCAGCAACCAATCCATCTTGTAGAGTGACTAGTGTCTATCTGTTTTGACATATAGAGTTATAGTACATTAATTGACGTCATGATCAAAAGCTAATTATTTAATGAAGTTAATGAACAATTGATACATGCAAAGGACGAGGACATAAGAACTGGAATGTATGTATAATCGATCTTTGAAAATGCCGAAGCTCTGGGTGTCTTTTCGGTATTTTTTTTTTCAATGGTATATTCTATCATTAAGAAAATAGAGAGCAGAGGAATGGAAACATAGTTAAACTGAGAGCCTCACTCAGTGACAGTTTTTGAGAAGTTAACCGTTTTCTGTACTTTCAATGAACCTGTATAAAGCCACAGGTATTGATGCAAAATCAGATGATCAAAAACAACGTAATCTTTCCTTCGCCTTCCAAGAGATAAGAAAATCTCCTCCTATCTTATTAAAAGGATAAAGGTTTCGGCAAAATACAATCAGAAATGTTAAAGGGGTAACAGAATTTAAACAGTCCAAGACTTTGAATCCAATGTTAATCGAATCTCAACCATACATTCACCTTGTTTTTGGCTTAAAAGCTTTTTTCTCTTCTTTAATTAAATACACAGAAACTTACTATTTTCTCTTCAGCGTTATTGAAAAAAGAATATGTTAAGCCTAGAAATTTGTTTACTTTGATAATAAAAGTTCTCTCCATGTTCTTGAATTAGCCAATATAGGTTTAAAAACCAATGTAGACTTTCAAGAGGTAGCCAGTGCTTATCAATTTCACCAAATCATATTGCTTTTTGCAGAATTTGTATCACTGTATGAAAAGCAAACATTCATTTAGATCCGCTCGATTTTACCGTATCACTAAAAACGACAATTCCATTTTTGCTATGCAGACATTAAACAAATTGATTTAATGTACAAACGTACTTAATATTTCTTAATTTCAACTTAAAAATTTGGAATAAAAAGGGAATGCATTTTTCCAAAAACTCTAAGTAGATACATATACACCAGAGACCGATTGGGAATTTTATTTAACTAGCAAATATTCTTGTTAAAAAAATTGAAGACGTTAAAAAACACAAGGTGGATTATGGTAACTTTAATAAGACGATGTTAATCCTCTTTTTTTCTGACAAGATAAAACGTTTGTCTAGATATAACTAGGTTATGTGTTCGAAGAAAGCTGTATTTTTTTAACGAATAAATACTCCTGGACAAAACTTACGGTTTAGGAAATTAAAGTATTGTTGGAGGTTTTTTATTCACTTTTGAAGAAAAATAAAAGTGTTTAAAAACAGTTTGGAGGAAAAATTCTGGATAGCTTTAAAATCACAGTCACTCATTGTAAACTGTAATATTAATATGAATCACCTTTTTAAAAAAAATCGCCTACAAATGTCCAAAATATAGCCCCAAATTAGTCATGAATATGGCAAGTTCCCCAGATATGCTCATTAAAGAAGTCTTCTTAAAAGGCAAGGTCGTAAAGTTGGTAATATCCCTTGTTGCAGATAAAACCCACAATTAAAAAAAAAACACAAGAGAACAAGAACAAATTATCTCTTTACAAATAAATATAAAATATTTTTGTCACCCCCTTCCATGTTTCAGTACATTTCCACTTTGTAAAGAAGCCAAAATATAGCGATATTCACGATATTATTTCAATAGAACATCATAATGGTATTATCATCAATCGATTCCCAGTGAGCTAAGGGGTGAATTTTTTAATAAAAAGAGTTCACTAAGGGACGAAATGAGTTTCTGCAATAGCCGTTTCCTTATCTCTGGAAGCTACTGAGACAATACGAGCAATTAGCTTACACTTCAATGGAATGCAATGAAATCTTTAGTGCCAAATTTAGACCCGAATGAAAACCTTAACTAATCACTGCATTTAAAATGTGTCATACTTACAGTATTGTTGCACAACGGAAGAACGCGTTGCAATTCAATACTTAAAGAAGAATAAATCCCTACCGCCACTTTAATTGCACATTTTAAGACTGCATTGGATTAAAAGGTGAAAGAAACAGTCCAATGCGTTATATGTTATTGACAGAGGGGTGTTTGAGCAGACGTTTTGAACTTATGATAGATTATTATTTACACTAAAAACTATAAAGAATTGTATTAACCAGTTAAAGTCCTTAAAAGTAGTCATAAAAAGAGTTAAGTATACAATCAACGAGCAATTGATATACAATTTCTGAAACTGAATTGATCCATTCTTCACAATGTTTACGCGTTTATCTCGATGTTTGACATCTGTAAATCGTACAATAGCACTTCCTATTTTGATCGCAAATCCAATTAAAAAGGCAGCAAAAATCTGTTATTTAAATATTTGCCGTTAAATACCATCTTTAAAAATCTTTCAATGGGCTTTACAAAAGGTCATCTTAGTTCCTATATTGAGCTGCACATTTTGATAACTTTTAAGAGTTTGGTTAAAAACTAATTAGAAATTTATATTTTTTGCATTACGTTATTCAATTTTTACTTCGTCATACTCTTTTAGAGAAATAAATATTGAAATTTTTTTCAATGAAAATGAATTCTCTCAGCAATTTGCAAGAAGCAGAATGTAAAAGAATTCTCATTTATAATTTACAATTCGTTTCACATACTTCAAGTTAACACTTTTAAGAATAATTCATCAGATTGATTTCTTACGAATGTTATTCAACAAATTGACAACCTTTGAACATATAACAAGTATTAATATTGATTTAGGTTAATACATGACAGTTGCAAAAATGCAATTTCACTCACCTAAAACAGCTGCGACAATTAATGAAGTAAGTAATATCCTGATTCCTCTCTGCATATTATACGATAGGAGTACAATCCATCCAAATACTCCGTGCACGTGAATTGCCGTAAATGAAATGAACAGTGTATCATTGCCTGGGCAGCGCGCGAGGGATTTACAGATCCTACTATTGGTAAATCCTACTAAAGCCAGTCACGTCCTTTGGGCATTCAGCTGCCTGCAAATTGCACAACGGTGTTTGATTGATGTGTGAAAATTGAGAAAAATACAATGAAAGAATACATACTTATTCAGAAAAGCTTGCCATGCGAGCTTTCTGTGTTGGAACGTTAAATTATCCAAGTTTTTTTTTCTTCCTGCAGAAGATCCTTGCTGTCACTGTATTGGATTTTAAATACTAAGCAACTGTCGATGATTTCTGATGGAGAGGAGAAAATGTAAACTGTTGGCGGAAATGTTATATAAACATTCCATTTCATCAAGTAATTGTTCGTATATCGTCTTTTCAAATTCAATTAAAGCATGTACATCACCCATTTGAAGACTAGAAGTGGTTGTATAAATATGCATTAATACTTTAGATTTATAAAAAGTCCGAACACATGGATTTTTTTTAGAACTTCATAATTTTCACATCGAACGAATCTTAATAATTTTTTTTGAAAGCTTGCACGATTTTGCCCTTAATATATATTCAATATTTGCTTAACAAGTACAATATTTTAATGGAAAATATCTATGAATTCTATAAATTTTTATTACTAAAGTTTATTTACCCTTACTGAAATTTCACTTTGTAGAAACAAAGGAAACAAGATTTACTGAGTATATAAGGGATTAACGTAATCGTAAAACGAAGTGAAAGTTGGTGCAATCTCAAAGCATTAACCAATTCCACCAACCAAACCACAACGATGGTGTTTTTGTAACCTTTGCATTTGCTAGCGACCAGTGTTTACCTTTACGGAGAGTTAGATTGTAAGTTAATGCTCCCTTCGACTAGAAATGCTTCTCTCGGGGGAGAGGCTCAAGACTCGTGAAACAAACACTCTATTCCCTTCATAACCAAGAAAATATGCATGATACAAGCACGCAGTAAAACAAATTATTGTTATAAATACTTGAGTACGTTTACTATACCTTAAAGATATAGACTAATTATCGAAATTAGACTTTGAGCGTGTGATCCTCACTTTTTGGATATTTTGAATGAGGTAAGATAAGAAATCTAAGAGAATGTTGTATTATGCACTCTTGCTTTACCATTGAATAAATGAGAAACAAGGGAATTTGGTCGACATATTCAATATTAATAGGTATATACCTAGGTTGCGATAACTCTAATTTCAAACGTGGTCAAAGGTGTACAGGCCACTGACCTATCGCATATGCATGAGATTAAGACTTTGTTCTGAAGTCAGAGCAACCTAACTTCCTAGAGAATCATTTAAAAGCAACTAGAAATAATTCATATAAAGCAGTTCCAGAGAAAATAGACATCAAGAGACTTACCAAAGACTCACCAAAGAGAGATTCTATGGTTGATATTCAACAGCAAGTGTTGAGACAGACATTTGAAAATTTGCTTCAAAATGTCATCATGACTTCCCCCTTTCATTAAAGAAACACTTGTGGCGATTCGCCTTATAAAAGTAACGTCTAGAAAATCATTTATTTTCTTTCGAGTGGAAAAGAAAATTATTTGCTTGTTTCTTAAATTTTTCACTATTTTTAAAATTCTGATCCTATGCATTGTTATGCTCAAGGTATATTGCATAATTGCTATTTTTAAACATCCATAGATTATTTATACATTTTTATGTAAACAACAGCGGACACTCGCAAAATTATAAAGTTATTCGCAAAAATATTGCGCTCATTAGATAAGAGGTTTGTATATAGTTAGAATAATCTAACTGTGTCTCGGTACAAGCCCTCACCACAGTTAGAATACCGCCTATATACTCGTAATGTAGCAAAAAACTGCAGAATCGCACCGAAACGATTTTGAAGGATACAAACGGATTTGCACTGAAAATAACTTGCAAATTAATCATAACAAACCTTTTTGAGATTGCTTATGCCTTTTATCCCAAAAAAACAATCCATATAAATACGAAAATCCCATTCATTTTCTCAACGTTATTCTCTCGATTCAAATTACCTCCATGTTTACATTCGGAACTCTCAAGATTGTTCCTAGTAAATGCACTATGCGAGTTATCGCCCGTGTTTCTTTCTGCTACATTACGAATACACGGAACGAATTCTATCGTTAAACCGGGTCCGTAGGACAATATCATTTTAACGATAGAACATTCTATCTAGTTTGTATACTGTTAGAAAAGTAAGAAAACAGTCACTGAATATCATGTTTCTTGGACAGATAAAGACATAATAAAATACAGCACCAGGGGCTTTGCTTCCTTTTTAAAGTAATTTAACATAAATATGTACTTTCTCTTAACATGCTCGTTCAGATATTAAATTAACAATACTATTAATTGCAATCTCTATAGGAACAATTGCTAGAAAAAAAAATTTCGAAAATAATTACTGTATCCACGTGCATTTAGTCCTAAATGCAAATATATATAAAATTCGAAACTTCTTTATTATTACCAAAGATTTCTTTTTATATTTTTGCAGATTAAATAAAAAGATATTGAACAGCTATCAAGCTCAAAAGACCATTAAAACAGTACGAATCAGAAGCAGAGCAAACATGGACCTCTAAAACATCAGAAGTGGGATCAGGTGCCATGGAAAAATACCGGTAGGAATCCTTGTCAACCGCCGGCAGGTGTCACCATGTGCTCTTAGTCATGATCGGGAAAAACCGAAAAGAATTCAGTGTGTAATTATGAATCAAGTGTACAGTAAGTTATTTTCAATACTGCAATAACTATCTTCAGGATGTCTTATTCACGAATATCACATCCTAAGATTTCTAATACTGTCTTAGGATAAAAAATCCTGAATTAGAAATACGAATTACGGAAAAATTTGCTATGTTTAATGGCTTTGTTGACATACATGCATTGCTGAAAGAACAAGCGTACGATATTATATATACATATTTATGTATTACCGGTTCTGTTGATAATAATGTTTCTTTCGATTTTGTATCTATGACAAGAGAACAGACGCGATGATTGCAAACAAAAAATCACAAGTAATGAGAATCTAGTGATTAAAAAAAACATATCAATAGATTTATTTCAAACGAGAATTGAAAAGCACATTCAAGGATTTTCTTACATTAAATGATTTACAATATGGACCTAAATTTGAAACCATCTTTTCTGAATGCTTTTCATCTCATTTGCATTGCTCAACAAAGGTTTAACACGATTTCGTTTTGGAAACATATATTATTCCAAACCATTTATATGGATAAAAATGTGATAGCTGTCCTCAATGAAAATTTTAAAAAGTAATGAATCTCGCAATGAAAAGAAGTTCTTTAATGAAACATGATTCTGTCCTTTATTTAATGAGAAATATATGTAAACCATTCACCTAGTGATTGAATGGATGGTGAGACGGATGTTTATGTGACATTGACAACTGATATTGACTTGTTTCTATTTTTAGTCAATCAAAAAAATCATGTGACTTTAATGAAAATGAAGCAGATGCTGCCTGTGTGCAATGTTTTAATTTAATTGTTCTAAATTGTCCTTTGAATTGCCACATCGTCACGTCTGGTCGACTTGAATGGGCAAAGATACACCAAATCAATAGACTGTTCCAAGTTATCTGTAGTAATTGTTATGTGTATCGCCTACTCTATCTTGGCTCTTTAATTTCAATACAAGAAGTATATGACGTTGTTTTTCCTCCTTGCTTTTAAAGTAAATTGCAATTTAACTTTTCAAAAACTGTTAAATTATTCGGTTATTTCAAATAAAATTTTAATTCTTTAAAGAAATTTATCAAAAGACGTTATTCAACCATTTCCAACGATAAATTTATATAATGACGTAGATTTTGAAAAATGACCTGTAAATCGGCTTGCTTGGCGGTTACGCTTCGAATTCATTAGGCTAAGGAATCTATTTCGAAAGGAATATTTTGTGAAAGGCTACTTGTGATCAGTCCAATCTTTTTGACATTAAAGACAGTTTTTTTTTCAAGAAAAATGGAACATATAAATATATTTACCTTGTCATTGACCATTTGCAAAGTTATTTCCTAAGAAATATTCTAACTGCACACACAAATACTTGAATTTGATATTTAAATGATGCGTGAGTTTCTGACAATATCTATGTAGTTTTTGGAGATCAGGTCTCCCAACAATCTGTTAGAATTCCCATGTTTATCATTTTTGCACCGTAATTAGCAGACTTATTCTTGTATTCAGATGAAGCAGAATATGTTTTAAAAACTTCAACTTTAAAAGAAAAAAACACTTGCTTCCAATAAAAGATACCGCAGAGTCTGACAAATCTGTTTCATATTTGGATATAGAACTATAAAAAGACGTAAATGGTAATCTAACAACCAAGCTTTATAACAAACGTGAAGATTTCAATCGTCAACTTCTCTTACTTATGTAGCAACATACCCCTATCACCTATATATGAGTTCATGTCTCTCAGTTGATTCGATACGCAAGGGCATGTTCTACGTATGAACAATTTCTAAAACAAGATAAGTTACTAATACTCAAGTTTATGAAACAAGAATATCAACAGTCTCGTTTGAAGTCATCATATAACCAAGTTTAATGATTCACACAGTGACTTTTTTTCATCAGTTACAACCTATCATTAAGTCAAATGGTGACTTACTATTGGTAAGCCATTGTTTACACACTGAATTGTCTATGGATGACAAGGAAATAAGACACTGTGACCGGTCGGTAGGGGGTGCTCACCCAACTATGGTAACCAATCCCATCTCTGATGTTTTAGCTGTCAGTGTTTGCTCTGTTCCCAATTTATGTTGTTTAAATGGAGCTTGAATACTATTTCTTATCTTCATGTCTCATTCTGAAAGGGTTATTGTTCAAAGTTTTTATTCCTTTCATGAATAATTGGAAAGAATAAAATATGTCAAGAGTTTTTCTTATGAAAAGAAATGGTGACCAAAAATTCCGTCTGGGATCAAAGTAGAATCTACATAAAGAGAACAGGAATAAATGCAATAGTATGGTCAATATGACTTCTCGATGATTTCAATTAATAACCTACTTTAAATCAATGG